GACACTTAACTAATACCGATAAAAACTTTAGCATTCTCTCTTAATATCAATATTTAGTGCCATAGTGCACTTAAGTTAACATCACATATCAAAAGTTATAACTGACTTGTAATAAAGGCATATTTTATTACATAATCAAATCTATCAAACAAACTATGTTCAGTGATTACTCCTAACCAGCCCAACTATATCACCCCAACAATAAACACCAAAAATATCCACTTGTGAAAGATCAAGTTGACGCTATAAGTATTGCGATGTGAAAGCTCTATATATTTGAAGTAGAAAAAATATATTTCAGAATGTTCTATAATAATGGACATTCCGGAAGTTGTACTTGAATTTGAAAAAGAAAATTGTATTAAGAAATAATATATATGAAATTTTTGACACATTTATTTGTATTAAAATATCATTTATGATTTCATTATATAAAAAATTGACAATAATACACCATACTACCTAATTAATGGAATCAATTTGATTTTTGTATTAACTAACAATTTGATAAATCACGAGTATCTTATAAAAGGCCACATAACTTCCATCATCAACATTATTGTGTCATTTTGTATTGACTAACAATTTGATAAATCACGAGTATCTTATAAAAGGCCACATAACTTCCATCATCAACATTATTGTGTCATCAATTTTTGCCATAAGATCTCAAATATTACCCAAAACATCAATCAAATAATTTTTATGGTAGGTAGGGACATGTTACCAACTAGGCTCTAGAATAATAGAATACTAAATATATAGCATATATATGCAGAGGTCAAAATCTAGTATTCACCTTCAAATAAACGCTAACTATGAATCCATCGCAATAAAAGAATTATGCAAAGTGGCCGGTAAAAGTGGAAATTGAAATTCCAATATGACATATAGTTTAGTTCCACGTACACTAAAAATATTCTAAGAGTAACCTTCATGTTTAAGTTAGATAGTCGTTCAATCAATATGTTTTTTTTTATTTTAATTTATTTGAATAAAAAAATTATTTTTTGAAACAGTAAATTAATAACTATCGATCGAGTGATAAACTCTGACATGAAAGAAGTTGGGAGCATCGAACTTGAGATTAATGATTGCTAAGTTCCCATTCAACGTTGTTTGTCAAAATTCTAATTCCGATTCTTTCTTCTTTTTCTTTTTTTTTGTACCTTATTCTTATCTTTCATTTCATTTAAAGTGGTAATCTAATTTCATTTATCCTATAGATTAATAAAATTAATTTATAAATTTCTTTATCAACTTTAACATCTAAGACTTTTAATTCGATGTTATCGGCCAAAGTACATATCCTACACAATAAGCCTGATTTCTTGCCCCCTTCCTTATCCTCTATGCATTAAAAAAATATTAAACTTTATATTTATTTAAATAAAAAAAAATATTTACAAAATACTTAGCATGTGTGTAGCTTATATAGATATAGTTTACGTGTTGTATAGTATTATAATAATAATAATTAACAATGTGATTTAACTATTTTTATTGTTGTGAATAGCACCATTTAATTTTTTAAATGGATTACTATTAACATTTCAAGAAATTTTTCATCAGTGATACTTGTGAATTACAGAAAAAAAAATCAATACTCCTTTTACTTTGTTACCTTACTTTCTTTTCTATATTTCAATAACTCAATCAAAATGTAATTTATCTTTGAGACTAAAAGAAATTCTTATGCTTAATTCTTTAGTTAGCTTGATCGATGACTATCTTAATTCGATCATTATTCTTTTTCTAATATTTGGTCTATGGACAACTACAAAATATCATATATTCTAATTAAATTAGATTAATATCAACGAATATTATGGTCTAATTTTTAAAGAAATGAATCTTTTTTTTAATGGATAAATTCCAATTTACACTTGGGATAATCATGAAAAAAAGAGCACTAAAGAATAAGGTTGAACCATCAGCTGCCACCTAAAGTTGACACAAACTTTTACGTAGACACATTAAGTAGATTTTGTTCATTTCAGACCTATTATATCAGGTTATACTATGTCATTTGAACACTTTTTTACTAATTTGACAAAGTAACATTTTGTTTGGATCATTGTTACCCATTGTTTCATAATGTATTGTAATGTATTATATGGTAGATACAATGTTTGACTAGATTGTATTATTTGTTGTTGTTTACTAACATTTTAATTGTTTGGTTTGATTGTATCGTATTGTATTGTAATTTATAAATTTACTTAAATATCCTTAATTATTCTAAGGTAGGAGGTTTGACTAGGTTCAAATAATTAAGGTAAAGGGTAAAATAATATTTTGAAATATTAGATAAAGATATAATTGGAAAAAAAATTAAGTAACAATAGGAACACACCAAATTGGTTGTTCCATAAAATAAGGGTTTTCATTGTTAAGTAACAAAGAAATTTAAAATAAATTTAAAGTAACAATCAAAACAGTACAATACATTTTAATTAACAATCAAAACAAACATTATAGGTATAATAACGATACAATACAATATAACGGATAACAATGATCCAAATATAACACATTCTCGTTAATAACACGTGAGAGGCTTATTTAGCGTATTTTGTTTATTTTTTTCTATATTCTTTCTAGGGGTGGGCATTCGGTATTTCGGTTCGGTTCGGAATTTTTTTTTGTTTTTCGGTTTTTGTAAATTGTGTACCGAATACCGAACCGAAATATTTCGATTCGATTCGGTTTTTGTTAATTCGGTTCGGTTTTTATTAATTCGGTTCGGTTTTTATTTCGGGTTTTTTAATGGGCCTGTTTAGTGGGCTTTTTAAAATTTTAAACTTAACAATTTTTTCAATTTTTTGTTTGATTTTTCAACTTAATGGGCTTTGATATTTCAAGTTAATGGGCTTTGATATTTCAACTTAGGGTTTCTTATTTTTTAAAAAAATTATTTAATATTAATAATTATTAAATATAATATAATTTATAAATTATAATATAATATTTCGGTTTAAACCGAAATACCGAATTCCAAAGTAATATGTACCGAAAACCGAACCGAAATACCGAAAATACAAAAAATTTAAACCAAATACCGAAATACCGAAATCGAAATTCTGAAAAATTTCGATTCGATTCGGTGTTTCGATTTTCCGGTTTTTATGCCCGCCTCTAATTCTTCCCCATTTTTCAGCCTTTACATCTCTTTCTTCATTTCCCCAAAACTTAAAAAATGATTCAATGGACGTCAAGATTTTGTATTTAAATTTTTTCTTTAGTTGCAATAGTTCAATTGAAAGAAGATTATTCATTTGAAAGTTAAAAATATAATTATATATCAATGTTCGAAGCTAAATATTAACTTCTTTTTTTAAAGAATGAAATTAAAATTAAGTAAAAAGAAAGAAAGGAAATATCTTACTTTGCCTTATTCAAATTTCATGTTTACACTTTTAAACAACAAATAAAATCAAGAAATGGGTACAGGCGAAGAAGACGATGAAAACGGAGTGAGTATTATGACAACGACCATGAAAATGAAGGAACGAACAAGATAAACGTGTAGAATGAGAGTGGTGGACGGGAATTATTTTTTGTGTGTGTGGAAGGGACACACACAAAAAATTAATTTTAAAAATAAAAGATAACTACGATAGTAGAGACGATGAAAATGGAGAAATTTGATGGAGAAGATGACCGGGAAGGAAATTATTTTTCTTTTAACTCAGAATATCGCTTCAATTTATTTTAATTTATTTGTGTGTATAATGATATGGTTTTAAAATGAGTGAGCATCATATAATTGACTATTTAATCCAGCTGGACACGTTTGTTCAGCACGCACAGAGTGAATAGGAAATTGTGAAGAAAGTATTAGAATGACGTAATAGGCTTTTATCTAAAATGAACAAAGCTTATAAAATGTATAAATGTCAATTTTAAGCTTTGACATAAGTTATTTAAAGGGAAACTTACGTAAATATACTATAATAAAAAATATTTACCATTTATAGTAATAATATTTTTATCTCACTTGATCACTTTTAATTCATTTATAATATAAGTTTAATACATATTACAAAGAATAATTTATTATTCACATATAATACAAATTTTAATGATGAATAATACATTTATCACACATTTTAATACATTTATAGTACAATGTGACAATTTTTACCAAACAAACATGATATATTTCAAAAAACAATTATAATTCATATATATTGCATACATAATTCACTTTTAATTCATATTACAAATTTAACAAAGTATTGCTATAAATGGTAATAAACAAAAAGTATCGCTAAAATCAGTAATTATTTTTTAAAATGTATTAATTTATGTAATTTTTCCTTATTTAAAATGAACAAAACTTATAAAATGTCTAAGTGAAAATTTAACGTGAAGTTAGATGATCACTATTAGATTAGGCCGAAGAATAAAGAGTCTATATTCGGCCAAATCCTAATCCAATAATGGGCCTAAATCCTAGTCCGAGCCCATGTGGCTATAAAAGGGTAAGAATTTCACGGGCAGCCGGTTTTAACAAAATTATTTAATTTGTATCCAATTGTTTAAATTTTTAGCATACATATACCTACTTTAAGCTTGAGAAAATCAACTATGAAATTATGTAGTATTGAAATTTAGTCATTTTAATCGGATTTCTCTTTAAAATGTATACATACATATTGGTGAATTTTAAGTATGTATGACTATTCATACGAAATGACTAAAATTTATCTATATATGATAGATAGAAGTTTGATAAAAAATGATTAAAATATGACATGATAACTGAACTTCAATTATATATGATTGAAATTTAAACAAAAATATATTGAAAATTTGCAATAAATAATGAAGATTGAGTAAAAGTGTCAACAAAGATTGTGGTGAAGTGATAAATACTTCCATTCAAGTTCTATTGAGTATAAAATAACCCTTGTTACGAAGCACTTTACCAAAATATAATGAAATTCAACCGCTACAATTCACCCTTTTTGCTAATATAAATTAGGTTTCAACTTACAATTTAAGAAATTGGGATGGAACTTGGTAATCATTGTATACTTAGCCATATTCTGTCAATATTTTATCCAATATTCATTATCTCTAACAAAATTGGGGGAAAACTCTCACTCCAACACTGACCTGTGGAGAAGTGAGACAACACTAATCTGAACAAGTAAGAATTCTTTAGCTACTGAATTTATGTGCTTTAAACTCTCAATCTTTTTCATTTTATATTCAGCTATGCCTAAAACTACTGCATTCGGTTTCTAAAATCTCCAAGTATGGAGATAAGAATGATGAAATGGTTACTGTGGAAACAAAGTTAAAGTTAATGTAGTCCAAGGGTGACAAGTTGGTGTTGTATTGTTTTCATCGAAAACTATAGGCGAGTAATTGATGAGTGTAACTGGAAATGGATGAGAGCAATAACCTTAGATTTGTTTATTTAGTTAGTAATAGTAAATTAGTGGATTTCCTCATATGTTAGGGCTTATTGTTGTACCCTCATTAAGATTGAAATATTACCACTTCAAATACGGATTTTGCTCCTCTTTTGGACTCAAAGCAACTTATTGAGGAATGGTTGATTATCAAGTATGTAAATTCATTATTGTTTTCTATGGTTGTTGATGTTGCTTAATGTTATATAATAGGTGTAGTTAAGTTACGTCAGTAGGCTCATGTGGGCAGGATTTGCGAGTAATACTAGGATAGGTTCCGGTCAGCAAATGCTAGGTATAAGTCCTTTACGCGGCTGAGTGCTGCATCGGGATATGTCCTTGGGCCGTCTCTAGTTGGCTTAATCAGGTTCAGATACTAACAAACAGATCCAATGCTATTTCCTTGTCTACGATGTGGAATCCAGTCATTTTGCAAATAGATTAAGAAGATTCTTAAGATGCTTGTTTTAATATCTAGGAGTTGTAAGATAGGTTCTTAAAAGTTGGTAAGACTTCTACAAGACGTTCTATTTTTCCATAGAAATGTTTCGTTCAAGAAAGACCCAAAAGAAGATAAAGTGGCGGACATATAAAGAAAATTATTTTGTCATCTATAACATGTATCAATCTGGTGCTGGGTGATATCTATGATACTGTGCAATTTTGTACGACTAGATGTCAATCCAATATGCATGGGATTAGCCGCTTCGGTGGCATCTTTTCCCTAGTAGGAGGAGAAACAACTCTTCCTAAAACCTCACTCAAAAGGTGCTAAGTTGGTCTCCCATTTTGACTAAGTATTCTTGTGGTTCTAGAGGATCCAACTATAGGAGAACCAGGAATGGAGGTCTTTGCCGGAGACATGTCATGTGGCATACCATGTACAAATCATGATGGACAGACTAGTGAAAGACTTCATAGGGAATATGTTCTTTTGTGATGTTGAGAAAAAACTCAATTGTTGATAAAAATGAAGTTCCCATTTCTGATACAGTTGAGACACATCTCAATTTGAAACACGGGTGCATTTTGCTATTGCGTGGCAGCTATTCGGCCTATTCTTCGGTTGTACCAACTATTTGACACTGCACTTCTTTCCCTTTAGGTATTATTTGTGATCTTAGAGATGCTATTTGCATTTGGAGTTGTTCTTGTTGAGGAAATCAAGTCAATTGTTTCTCATATACTAATACCTGAGGAATGACAAGGAAATCAAAGAAAATGCATAATCATTCCAAGCCTCATTCTAGAAATATATTTTCTTATGTTTGACCTCGAAACCAAATGTTATTTGTCCTTCATAGGGTACTTGATGAGTACACTGATAAAGAAGTCAGACAAAAGTGGGGAAGAAATAGAAGAGCTGATGTCCCAGTATTAAATTTGGAAAATGGGATAATTTCATGCCATCACTATATTTTTTCTGCATTATCTTGTCTAGCTATTACATGGAGTTTTTACGATGCTTTTGATCTTTTAGAACAATGGAATTACAACACAGCCTAAGACTGCAGCTTTTGGCCCCACCTTCACAAGAGAAATGCTTGAGAAGCTTCCCTTCAGTGTTTGGAATTTTCCCACAAAGGAAAAACAGACTGAGAAGTTTTAATCTCTGTTCCTTGAAATTGAATAATTTTGGTCCATCAGTACCAAACTTTTGGAGGTCCCAATTGACGGTATGCACATTTCTCCACTTCTATTCTTATTGTCTGAACATCACCATTGCTGTTAATCTGTATTACATGTTCATATTCTTCAAATCCCTGTTTATGACAATGGACTATTGAAACAGGTTCAGGGTCTCAGACTAAAGGGATCAAAAGCTTCGAAGCTAGAAGAGTTGCTCAAATTTGGCAATGGAGAGGAAGATGATGGAGATGAATCTGAATCTGATTCTGATGGAGGTCATAAGAGGGACGATTACTTTCATATGGATGAGGATGAAAGGCGGGAATGGAGGAGGAAGATAAGAGATGTCATTAAAATGTCTCCTGATGTTGAGGAAGAGGTAGATCCTGTTGAGAGAAGACAAAAGATGCAAAAGCTTTTGGCTGATTACCCTCTTGTTGTTGATGAGGAAGACCCTGATTGGCCAGAAGATGCTGATGGGCGAGGTTTTAACTTGGATCAATTCTTCAATAAGATCAGTATCAAGAATGTTAAGAAAGATGACGATGAAAATGATGACGACAATGAATTAGTATGGCAAGATGATGATTATATTCGTCCAGTTAAAGACTTGACCACTGCAGAGTGGGAGGAGACTGTCTATAAGGACATCAGTCCCCTTATTGTTCTTGTTCATAATCGCTACAAAAGGTGATCTTGCCACCCCTTTACATCTCTCATTAATGATATAGCCTTTGACTTAGATATAAATGCAGTTCTATCAGTTGTTAGTTAGGGGCACGTGCTTTCGCTGTTATTTTTGTCATGTTTCTGTTTTATTTCTTGTCCATGTGCGTGAAAGTTAGAATCTACTTGCTTCTTTGAGAGTCTAGGTTTGCTGGCTGCATTTATGTGTCAAATTCTTATACTAAATGGCAGTTTGTATATATGCCCATCATTCACTAGGTTTCTTTAGTCTTCTCAGTACTAATATATACCTTTTAGAAATCTCTCCACCGATTCACAATTAAGCCAGGAAAAGGTCATATCTGCAATAAACTAAATTTAATTGGTGAGTTCTGTTAAATTTAGAGTGCTCAAACAGTCCTTAAAAGCTTAGCGGAGAATGACACTAAGTTCACTATTTTTTCTGCTTTCGCTCTAATATTAGGCTATATCAATTATTTTGTGGAAGTGACCTGGTAAAAATTAATTTTTTTAGAGTTTTTCCTCAAATTATTGAAAGACTTGGGATTCTAGAAACAACATTTTTTGTAGAGAGCAGCATAACTAGGTTCACAAAACAACCATACGTTTTTCATGATGGTAAAAGCTTTCCTGTGTACTCCTTTCTCTTCCTTGAGAATTGAGATCGTGTTCATTTGACAAAAAACAACTCTTTTCCTTTCTTTGAAGGAATTTTCCTATCATAAAATTGGTTACTGGCTGAGCCTTAAAACAGAGGCCTAAAGTAAGTTTTCGAGAAAGATTATATGAATGGTTGCAGTTATCTTATGAAAGCCGTGTGTTACATGCAGGCCTAAGGAAAATGAAATGGCACGGGATGAATTGGAGAAGGCTATCCACATCATCTGGAATTGCAGGCTACCATCGCCAAGGGTTAGTTAAACCATTCAACTTTAGCCAATTATATATTCTAAACACACTATTGATAGTGTTTTTCCCTTTAGTGTGTAGCAATTGATGCTGTTGTTGAAGTTGACTTGGTGTCTGCTTTGAAAGTCTCTGTTTTTCCCGAGCTCATCTTCACTAAAGCAGGGAAAATCTTGTACCGTGAGAAAGGTTATAGTCTGTCTAATGGAACATTGCTTTTGACTTTTGTGGCTTGATGTCAAATCCTCATTCTATATCTAACTTTATTCACTGCTATCCTCGAGCAGTGAGCCGAACAGCAGATGAGCTGTCCAAAATGATGGCGTTCTTCTACTATGGAGCTGCCAAGCCACCTTGTCTCAGTAGCATTGAGAATTCTCAAGAACTAATACCTACAATCTGAGAAAGAAATTATCTTCGTAGATGAGTCTTGAGATCTATTCAAACTATGTTTTGATAGCTTCACTGTATTGTGAATTGTCATGAACGTAAAACGTATCCTACAGGTGCAACAATGAGTGTTGTCTGTACAGTCGGTCACTAAGATGGCACCGGTGCTCTTGGTGGTGTTTTACCAGGTGAGAAGATGGGGTTCATTTTGCTCTCTTCAACATTTCAATAGGTGCATTGCTCGTTCCTTCGGTCCTTGTGCTAGCGCAGCACCCTTATTCGGTATCAATACAGCAAACACTTATAATTGCAAGCAGCTTCAAGGTTGAAAATAGTAGCTACTGAAATGTCATGCTAGTGTATTCTTTGTTCAAGTATAACAGCTACATGGCCAGCCATTTGTGTAGATTTAGTTATGTTGTCTTCTTCCCTATGTAAAATAGCATAGATTGCTTCGTAATATATATATATATATGTATTAGTTTTGCAAGATTTTAGTTTACATATTTGGTGTACTAAATTTTATACATTAATGCTACCAAACATAATACTAGTTAGAATGAAATTTCTATGTGGTGTGGATGTCTAATGTCATTCATATTAATCAACACCACCTGTATGTATATATGTTTATATTTTTTCACTTTAATAAAAGTAGTACTTGTCTGAAATTAAGAAGAAAAAAAAAATCAAAGCATATTCAGTGTCTCGACAAGATATTAGGGCCTTTGAATACCTAAAAGAATCATATCCATACCAAAAAGTTTGTCTCCAAACTAGACTTATATGAAATCAACTTTACAACTAATTAAGATATGTAGTCACTAAATCCATGCCACTAATTTCCATGTGGCAAAGAATCCTATTTATGTATTTCACTTCAATTACTACATTAATAACTAACTAAATCACCAAGAACATTGACAGAAAAATTGCTAAGAATCAAGAATCTAAATTTGCTTCGAATGTTAAGACATGTTCTCTTCACTCTCATTCTCTTCGACTCGTTATTAAAGATTGTAAATATATGTTCTATTAAACATATTTGGAAAGAGGCAAACCATTATGCTGATGTTGATTTTATAAAAAGATATAAAATGAAATTGGTTAATTTGTGAAATCTTAACATTTTCCAATGTATCAAAAAAAAATTACATTTTTGTCATATCTTAAAAATACCCATTTTTGTCCAAGTATAAAATTGCACCAATGGGGTTACCTTTTATATCTGAACTCAATAGATATAGAAGGATGTACATATATAGAGAGAAGTAAATATTTTTTCAACACAATAAATTCTTACTAAAATAGTGAAATATTTTTTAATTTTTTTCGTATGAAAGTATTATTATTTAATCACCATTTTAATTAAAATATCTGTGAAAATTACCATATTTAAGCATTTTTCAGAGAGAAATTTTAGTGGAAAACTAGTGATTTTCTTAGTAGTGATATATGTTATTATGCTTACTGATTTCGACATGAAAATAAAGTGAATAAGACGTCCATACTTTCTTTTATATTTGTCCTTTAAAGTGTTTAACATATATTTTAGTAAATCTATTGGAAGAAGGTTAGTATAGTTGTTATCCAATGTGGCATACTAGACTAGCAACTAGTTACTTATGGCCCATTTGATTCACTTAATTTTTTTTTTTAAAAAAAAAAGCTTCAAGTCAGAACTAAAACGTTAAATTTAAATAATTTTCAAGTCAAAAATAAAAAATAGGGGTGACCTATACTTAGTTTTTAACTTCCTAACTTATTTTAAGGTAATTTTGATTTATTTTTTTAAATTATTTTTTATATTTTTTAAACACTTTCAGAAATTAAAAATCTAACTAAATCTACTATTAAGTCAATTCAAACACCCTCTTAGTAAATTAAATACTCCATCGTTCAAGAGATTGTACTTATAAAGCCTTGTAAAGTTCCATAGAACCTTTTATTTTGAGATAAAAAAAAATTACAAGCAAGCAAGTTTATCTAGTTTTTAAATTATAGATGAATAATATACATATATTAGGACACAGACTCAAATATATCATCGAATTAAGAAAAAAAGTCCACTTTTATCATTTTCGTTTTAAAAAATCATCGATACCATTATTTATTAACTTTAATAAAAATGGCCCCCTCCTAGAAACGTGTTTGTTTGAGTTGACGTGTTGTAGCGAAAAAATAAAAATAAAATATATAGAGAGAGAGTAATGTTATTGTATAATATTTGCACATTTTTAATTATATATATATATATATATATATATATATATATATATATATATATATATATATATATATATATATTTTGATATGTTATAAACACTTTGATGTAGATATTATTAGCGACAATAAATATGTATATTAATACAGAATGTTCAAACATTTATGCATTACTAGTATTAGTTTATAATTGTGATTAAATTTAATATTATTATAAGCTTTAATATTTATAAAGAATTTTAAAATTTAATTATCATTATTAATTGCTCTAAAAAAATATATTTAACAACTTAATAGTTGCAGCGTTAGTGCGATGCACTCTCAACATGTTGAATCAGTACACATTGCTAGCTTTTATGATGACTTCACTCATGTATTAAGTATATATATTTCAACAGAAGTATTATGGTCAGGGAGAAATGATTTTCTAGCTTTTTTATATTTTTTTAAAAAAAGGTTTTATGGCTTTATTACAAGAAATCTTTAATTTTTATATCTATACATACAAGATGTAAAAAATTATATTCTTTCATTCCAAGTTATAAAGAGACGAGATATCTTGACATATAATGTTATTTACTTAACCATGTAGACGACTAAAGTTCATATAGGTATAACATTATAATGTCTGATTTGGTTGTAAGCTCACACAAATTTATCTTTCGGACTATGTTATATTGAGCCTCAAAACGCATGAATAATGTAAACTTGAGTTATATTATATAAAATTCTTCATTTTTCTCGTGCAAAATTTGTTAATCTTCAAAAAATTATCAAATCTAAAAAGCGCATGAATCACGTAAACCTGAAAGTAAATACTAAACAGGATGTTTTCTAATTTATATAATTCCTCGGCTCTAATATAGCATTTAAATATAAAAGAACAATACTAAAAGGACACCAGTGATATTATATTGTGCTTTACATATAGTAAAGTATGATACTTAGACATAACTTTAATACTAAAAATTAGTTCATAAAAAATGTCTAAGAGTTCAAATGCACATCTTATTTTCCTTTAAACATATTTTTGAACTTTTTTTAATAGGGTTTTTTCATGTAATGCCAAAATGATAGAAGTTAGTGATAAATTAGTGTACCTTGCAATATGATTACATTTTTTACCCAAAAAATTCTAACTTTTGTAAGAGGTTGAACAATTTTATGTCTAGCATTCTTCTACTAAGATAGATATCATAAAAGGTTCTCGACCGTACTATATCCACAACAAAGTTAAAGAAAACTTTAGTCATCATGTTATTGAGAAATGTCCAATCTTGAAAGAGAATATGTGTGTGAACCACTCACTTGTACATATTTTTATAATAAATGGAGATTAGAAGCATAAAAAATATTGACAAGAATTGTATTATCAACAAGAGTTAATTAATTATATTAGGCAAAAAAAAAACACAATGGTTTTGAAGAAATATCAACCCTACTTGGCAATGCTTTTTGTACAAATATTATATGCAGGCATGGCTTTGTTCTCTAAAGCTTCTATCTCCAATGGCATGAACCCTTACATATTTGTTGTTTATCGACAAGCATTTGCAACCCTATCCCTGGCTCCCTTCGCGATTTTCCTCGAAAGGTCTTCAAATTTTCATCTTCTATATGTATATATTATATGTATATATGTAGCTTATTTATATATATATACACTTGAATATTACGCTAATATGTTTGTTATGTTCTTTGATTTGCAGTAGCAAGACAACTCTTTCATTCACTTTACTAGTGAAGATATTCTTTACATCCTTATTTGGGTATGGATCCATCCCTTTTCTTATTGTCTATATATATATATGTGCGCGCGCGCATGCATGATGAGGTATAAATATGAAGTAAAATGTGTAGCATACACAAGAGTTGTGTAAAATTAAGTTATGAGTTGATTCAGAATGAACGTTATCTTTTATATGTATATATTTCAAATATTCTTTATATATATAGTTCATGTTGAAAGTAATGAATTCAGTTGAACTCACAGGATCAGAAGGATCAGATGTACGTATATTCTTCTCTAAGTGTTCTACATATAGAAGTTATAATACGTGCACTAATAGTATTAAAACTTTATAATATGGTTGTTGGGACTAGACTGTTTGTTGACCAAGTTGTGTTATGATTAATTATGTGAAATTAATTTTCAGGATTACCTTGAGCTTGAATCTATGCTATATTTCATTAAGTTACATATCGGCAACATTTGCATCTGCAAGCACAAACACAATCCCTGTTATTACCTTCATTTTGGCTTTATGCTTCGGGTACGTACGTAATTTTTTAGAAAATAGATCGACCTAAACAGTGAGGATTCATATGACTGACTTCAATTTGAGAGTTTTTGTTGTTGTTGTTATGAAATATTAATTGTGTACTATTATTTTTTTTTTGTATGATATTTAAGGATGGAGAGCATTTGTTACAAGCAAAGGCATGGAATAGCTAAGATTATGGGTGCAATTGTGTGTGTTGGTGGGGCTTCAATGTATGCTTTTGTAAATGGACCTCCTATATATCTAGAAAGCCACAAAAAAGTAGATTATCAAACTTCAATTGGCACCTCTAAAGGGGAATGGATTAAAGGTTCTCTCATCATGTTTTTAGCCAACACAATGTGGTCATTGTGGCTTATTCTCCAGGTTTTTTTCCTACACTTATCTACCACCCAAGAGAAAGTTCCTAAATAAGGATAATTTATGTAAAGTATTTAAGTTGCTTTTTAGCCAACATAAATATCTTGTTTTTGGACCATAAATTTTAAAAGTTCTTTTTTCTTTTTTAAACTTTATATCTGATCAAATATCAATATACATAAATTGAGACAAAGTGAACAATTAAACACATAAATTGGGACCATAAACGTATTCTTTAATTTGACCTCAATTAACATCTATGATTCTATGTCTTTTAACTTTAAATGTGCATAAGTAAACACTTAAACTTGTATAAAATTGAACAAGTTGATTGACACACACGCACCCTATCTGGTGTCCCACAAGAATTGTCACATAACATGTGTGTTTACTTGTTTTTCTAGTACACGTCTAAAATTGGAGCGTGTACATTTGGATCAAATTTAAAGTACATGTTTATGTGCTATGACTTTGTAGAAAATTTTGGTTTTAAATATAACAAAAGAAAATGACATATTTATGTAGTTTTTCCATTAACTTAGCTACTTAATAGACAAAAGAGAAAACACACACAAAAAAAATAATAAAAAGTATCTAATTAGAGTTGAAGCGTTCTAGTGAAACCAATCATAATTCGAGTGTGTAAATAAAATAAAACTATCCTAACAAGTTTAAGAGACTTTGGTTATGTAATAATAAAACTATAATCAATTCATA